GGATCTTGGTGAGCCGTTCCTTTCAAAGAGCCGTTCAAAAAACTGGCTCATTTGACTGATTTTTATATTTATTAAGTTTTAAGAAGCCAGCCTGGTGGTAACTCATTTTATCTTGGAAATAATCACTGGGAGGTATGATGGGGTAAGATTTGGAACAAAATAATACAAAATTAGATATCCCACCAATATCTGAGTTTGAATTATTCTGAAATATTGATTATAACCTCATTTGACATGTGTGGACTAGATTTTAAAGTCTGATCTGGATTCATTGTAAATATTCCACAAGGTTGCGCCATATCACTCTGCTTTGACAGTGACATCACTATTTTGGATTTACCCTTTATACAAACTGTCTGTATGTGTGTAAAGCTACCATGACTTGTTATTCATGCAACACCGTGACCTTAACACTTACAAATAAATATTAAAAAACAAAGCAGGCTACAATGAATTTTGCTCAGGGGAGGAGCAAAGGAGGAGCACACAGTGATATTAAAAAAAAAAAAAAAGAAAAAAAAAAAGAACGGTTCCCAGCTGTGACTCGGTTCCCATCGTTCATGTTAACGAGCCGTTCAATAGAATCGGTTCGTTCGCGAACGTCACAACACTACTTTGTCAGTAATGTTCTTTTTGTCGTTTTAGTAAACTGACCCTTTAAAAAACAGTAGAAACCCTTTCAGTCTTCTGCTGTGAAGGTTGAGGGTTTAGTGCCTTGCTCACAGACTTAACCTTCAAGAAACAAGCCATCTTTATTTTCAGTTGTGTCCATATTTAGTTTTAACTTATTTAAACGTATATATACACTAATACACATGCTCGCTTCTGTACAACCTGCCTCCACAAGCCAAAACACACAGACAACTTGAAGAGCGAAGAGCGTCAATATAAAGAGATATTTTCCTAAGTGAGTGTTCACACACACACAGACACACACACACACACACACACACACACGTGTGGTGGGTGTGATCCAGCTGCTCTTTGTGTCTTAAAGCATGTATTATTGATTGGAACAAGCAGCGGTGAAGTGGAGTGCAGTGCTGCAGCTTTGTTGAAGGGCAAAGCTGCAAGTTAGCCACTTAGCAAGCTGACACGGCGGGGGGTTGGGGGTGCACTATGAGTTAGAGAGAGAAAGAGAGAGAGGGAAAGAGAGAGAGAGAAGGGGGGGAATGTTTGTACATGTGTGTTTGTGTCCTGTCACTATAAACGTGGGCTGGATCTTTGTTTTGTTTGTGTCCATCTGTCAGACACTGTTAGACAAATCGGCAAATCAATCCCTGACCTGTGTGTGTGTGTGTGTGTATGTGTGTGTGTGTAAGAGAGACAGAAAGAGATTGAGAGATGAGTTTCTTTATTTTACTGTCACATTTATGTTGAGTTTTGATTAAGTCAGTGATACATTAAAGACAGCAAGCAACCACACGTCAGTTGTGAGGCAACACCACCAAAAACCAGAGGTGGAAGAAGTACTCAAATCTTCACCTAATGTAAAAGTAGTAATACCACAGTGTAGATATACTCTGTTAAAAGTCCTGCATTCCAAATTTTACCTTTATAATAAAAGTGCAGTATTTGCATTAAAATATTTTTTAAGTACCAAAAGTACTAATTATGCAGAATGATATAAATTATATTATTCAATTAAAATTCTTGATGCATTAGGCCGCGATCAGACAGAGCAGGTTTTAGCAGCCTGGGGCAGCTTTTTCTTTATTGTTTTCAGTAAGAATGAAGCATTTTTCCACTTTAGGCACCTCACATTTTTGCAGGAGTGCCTTGACCGCCCCAAGCTGAAAAACTTCAGCTCAGAGCAGATTTAGTGCCCAAAGTCATTGTCATTTTTTCACAACGTCCAATCACATTAATTGAGACGGGCCTTCTGTGCTTGTGAAGACAGCAAGTGGTAGCGTACAGTGTGAAGCCACGGTTAGCTCACTTTCAACGTTGTCATACGAGGCAAGCTGCAAGACATATCTAAACAAGCTATAGCTTCAACTACTTTCTAATATTTTACTAAGGGTAATTAGGGCCCTTGAAGCCTTGAACTTGAAGCCTGGCCTTAAATCAACACTCGTCCAGACAAAGCCCCTTGACCAGCTAAGGTTCTCTAATCAGCTCTTTGATAAGGTGATTGCAGTCGGTGATGAACAACTGCGGTGCCTGGCTGTAAACACTATGTCCACCTTGATCTTGTGAGATTATTGTTGCCCATTTGTGCATGACGTCAGATCAAGTCAGGATCAGAACTAACCAGCATGCACTGTGTGACAATCAATGCTGATCATTTCAGTGCAGGTCTGACTCATCTCCAATGGGCCTATCATCTAAACAATGCCCCACATTCGATAAATGGTTGTGATTGGTCGGTTGGAAATGTCAGAATGGGAGGGAGGCCAGATGCATCTTCCAGAGCAAATAAAACATAACGATTCATCTGGTTCCCAGGCTACATAACTGGCCAATAACGCTGATTCCTATTCCAAACCATGGTTGGCTAGTTAACATAGCTTTCATGGACACTAGCACAAAACATCATCAGACATGAACAAGAGATTAATACTCTTCTGTGGCAGAGAATGCTACACATGAACCTGCAGATAACTTCAGCTTTGAACAGCAACAGTAACCACTGTCAGAGCAGGGTTATGACTATTTACTGAAACTCCTCCACACACAACAAAAGAGCCTCTACTAGAAGAGCTGCTACAACACAAGTACCCACACTGTCACATTCCATCACAGCTGCAGGTGAAAACACCACTCCTCTCTTTCTAAATTCAGTGTAAAGTCATTTAAAGCCCCTGAAAACTTGGTCAAGTTTTCATCTGAAACATGAAATATCTGTGACTAAATCAGCATCAGTCAAGTTTGAGTTGAACTCATCATCTCCATGACAACTGAGCAAACTCCATCCACTGAGGAGGACCATGAGATGCAGTGAAAAGCTCCATAAAAGGCACATATTGTGTTGACAGTGTTGGTAGAAATGAACATATACAAACAGATCAACACTTGCACAAGAGCTCAAGGCAGCAACAGATGAACACTGACCACAGGGAAACGGACATCAGCCTTGTTCTGACCTGAGTTAAGCAGCTCCTGCTCCATCACTCCGCAGCCCAGCACCTCCATCCAGTCACCCTGGAAACGCACCTCCATCTCAAAGGAGGGGTGAGTGAAGGGGAAGTAGCAGTCGACCCAGCGGACCTCCAGGTCTGAGCAGAGGAGGAGAAAAAAGAAGTATATTTTACTAAAGTGAAAACCTAAAACATCTGAAGTGACTTCTTGCGTGTCTCAGGTGTCTCACCTTGTCCGAACAGGTGAGTGACGAGCCGTGTCAGAGTGTGTTTTAGGTTGAACTCCAGCAGCTTCACAGCCTCCAGAGAGTGAGTTTCCTGTTTGTGAGGCGTCCTCCGACCTCCAGTCTCAAACAGAGACAGATCCTCACTGTGCTGCACCTGAGAGAACAGCTGGGGAAACACAGGAAGCAGCTGGAATGCATCCTGGACTTCAGGCTCAAACCTCACAACTACTACCTCTGTGGAGGTTTAGACACATTTAATCACTCATAACCTCCAGGGTGCGTATTCACAAAGATTCTCAGAGTCCTCTCAGAGAGCTCCTAACTTAGCCTAAAAATTCCTAGCAAGGAATCTTAGCTTAAGAGTGATTCAGGAAGTTTCTGAGAGCAACTCTGAGCAAGGAGGGAACAGAAACTTTTATCTTAGTGAGGAGGTGTGGTTGACCCCGTTGCTAGGTATGACGCAGTCTTCTAAAAGCTGTGATTGGTTGTTACAAAAAGGAAAAAAGAAAAAAAAGAAATGCGCTCCTAGTAATGAATGGACAGTGAAATCAACCATCATAGAACTTAGACTGTATTAAGAAATGTGTAATCGTGAAAATAATTTTATGTCATGATGATGAAACTCAGCAAAATTAAATTAATTGTTACACAGCTTCAAAATGTTTGAACGTACCTCATTCACATGCCGACTATTTTATTCTATTGATTTGCTTATTGTTATGTTTACTCGCCATGCTGGTAATTTTACTACTTAATCTATTTGATATTAATGGTGGACGCAGACTCAGCTGTCAGCAATTACTGTGATTGCTGGCCTCCTTGTAAAAAGTGGTTTGATTTGGCAGAATGACCAAAACAACAAATGAAATGGAGAAAAAAAGAACGAGAAAGCCGAACTGGACAGAAGAGCAGTGTTTGCTGTTGGCGCAGCTTGTGGAGGAGAACAAAGGAGTTTTAAGAGTGAAATTATTGCCTTACTACGCTGGGTGGGAAAAGTAAGCTCATCCCTGATGAGGTCAACCACAAACATTATCCCTGCACGATCAAGCCAGTAGCGTCTTATTAAATCACTGTCGTT